GGCCGCCGGGGTGGCCGAGGGGCCGGCCTGAGGGGCTGGCACTGACCGCTGCGCGGCGGCTTGCCCAGAGGTGGAGGCAGCAGCTCTTGGCTCCCGGAGCGGACTGGGGTGACCGAGAGGAGCCCGCGGCGGCCGGGGCTGGGAGGTGGACGGAGGCGAAGCTGCTCTGGCGCCGTGTGGGGGACCCCGGGAAATAGAGGAAACACTGGCGCGGGAGAGGGGCCGAGGGTTTGACCCGGGCGCCCGCCTGGAGCACACGGGCAGATACCTGGAGAACGCGCCCTGCCGGCTGGTGCCTTCCTGCCCTGTGGAGAAGCACCAAGAGGCAGATGGAAATACTGAGACAAGAGAACCCCCTGTAGTGCGAAGATGGTAGCCATTGACTTTTTTTTTCCTATTTTATCATCACTTTTAAATTAGTATGCAGAAAATCAAGTCAACGGGAATCCTCGCCAAAGGGTTATTTTAACTCAGACTGTCCTTTCCTGCACTCCCTGGGAGTCCGGTCAGTGAACATTCAATTAAAATACATTCTGTGTCACTTCCTCTAGACAGCCCCAGCGTGTCTGGGCGCAGATACATCTAGAAAGTCAGCTTCCGTCACCACCACCCTAGATTTCACTCAGCCGTCTCTCCCACTTTGCAGGGCAGGCTGATCATTTCTGCGTCTGGGTGAGCACCACGTGTGGGCGTCATGGCCCAGGGGAACAACTACGGGCAGACCAGCAACGGTGTGGCCGATGACTCGCCCAACATGCTGGTGTACAGAAAGGTAAGGGCTTCTTTGCCTTTTCATTTTTCTTGGGAAAAGATAGTGGCTTTGGGACTTCCTCCGCCCTCAGTATGTGTCAACTTTTTGGTCTCCTGGGTTCCCTCGGTCACTGCTACGGAGTGCCCGCTGCACAGGAGAGGACTGGGCACCCAGCCTGCAGATGGGTAGAAACGGTAAAGCACAGGCATAGTCACACTTGACGTGAGCATGTGGTCAGCAGTTACCACAAGTTAGCACATGCTTCGTTCCATAAGTGGTTCTAAAGCATTCACTGTACTTTTGGAAAACATTTTCTTTAACTTCCTCTAAGCATTTAGCTTATTATGATGATATAAATGTATGCTAGAGAAATGAAACTAGAGCATTTGCACTTTGGCAAGATTGATGTACCTGTAAATGGTGGCAGCTTAATGATTTGACTCCTAACTAAACAGGTTTAGGTTTCATGTTTCAGCCTCAGTTACTTTTTACTTTTCATTATCTTCATAATTTTGTTCATGGGTATTGTTTGATGCCATGGGGCTACTAAATTAATTTGTATATTCTGGAGTGGTTTTGGCCACACATTGATTTGATAGTTTTACAAAAATCTTATCAGAACTAAACTTCTAGACATCAGGTCGCCCTAAGAAAGGTGAGTTTGCACATGTGTGTGCTTCAGAGTGGCTGTTTAGGTAACAAAACTTTGCTTATCCTCAGCAGTGTTACCAAAATTCAGGAAGCACCTTTCTTGAGATAACTTCGGTACCAGTTGTTTCTATTGCATTTTATGGGGGGAGGTACTTCTGTAGCAGGCTCTCTGTAGTGTGTATTGCGCAAGATTTTGTGAGTCAACACTACAGTGGTAACATGGAAATCAGGCCTTGCACCAAGAAAGATGTTAAAGACTTTGGATATCTTGGCTCATTGAAGAGTCCAAGATACGTTTGCATCTGCTTCCCCCCCACCCCCAACTAGAGGATCAGAACCAGTTATGAATAAAGAGGAAAAGCTTGCTGCCTTGAGCAGTACTAAAGCAAAACTTGTCTTCTGTGTGGCCCAGGACCACTGTGGCTGACTATGTCAGGGAGCTGTTGTTAACTGCGTGACTGGCAGGTGCAGGAGCATCCTGACACAGTGCCGGCTCTGCCCCTCCCCCAACCTCATCAGAGTACTAGTTGTGCACCTGAGAATGGAGCTTTATGTCCGGGACAACACAGTGTGACACAAAAGGAAAATTAGGGCTTAGCTGCCCATTTTAGATTTAAAGCATCCCAACTAGATAATCAAGAAAATTATCCACTTCGGCCTAAGTTATTATTTTGTGCCTACTTTGGTTGAAATAACTGGAGAGATGCCCGTTCTATACATAGTTGGTTCTGGGGGGAAAAAAACTCAGGGGTGCATATTATTTTTTAATTATTATTATTATTTTTACTGTTGGGTACCCTGAGTATTGTAGCATGTAAGGTATGATAACTATAAATTCTACTTTATTAGTGTGTGAAATGTCGAGAGTGGGATGTAAAAATTACAGTAGTTAGCTTTTTTTTAAATTAGGTCACACAACTATTTCTATTTCAGGGCTGAATAGCTCTGACTGCTAATGGTTATCTTGGTTTAAAAAAAAAACCTTAATATGACAGATTTTGTATCTCAGTTATCATATGAATAAATGAAAATGAAACTAATGGTTTTAGAAGTAGCTAATACCTGAGCTTCATATTGGAACTTCTGAACTTGCTCTATACATTTTGATCTAGCGTAAGTTGTTGTTACTGGTACTTATAAATTAACAGATGATAGCAATTTCATAGAGAAAATGTAAGTCTGCATTCTTTAGTGATTTAACTGCTCGTGCTACTTATTTTGCCATTTAAATTATTTGTTTAGGGTTAATGCCTATGTAATTTGTGTTTAGAAAATTTTTCCTTGATAAATCATTATTGGAAAATGACTCAGCTTGGTAAAATTTCATGCACTCAATGCTGAACTATGTTATTGCCTGTCTTAGTAACTTAGCGTAACTGTTTTTATTTTTATGTGTGATACAATAAAAAAGTGCCAGATATTTTATGTAAAGAAGTAGTGTCCTTGGTTGTCACTTGCTAGTTATTAAGCTAAGTGATGTCTGTGTGCAGATGTAAAATAGGACATCATGGGTTTCATGTGACCATTTTGCTGTTCCCTGTCTTACCCGGCTTTACATTTAATATGATCCAGGCAGTGACCAAATTTTGATGTGAAGAACTGCAGAGTAGTTGGGTGGTGGTAGGTGATCCCTTCATCATGTATGAAGACACTTCAACTGCTTCACCTCTTTAGAAGAATAAGCAGTATTGCAAATGTTTATCAATCACAAAGTCAACCCAGGCTTCAGGAAAGAGCTTCAGTCCTGTCGTGCATTGCTCAGTAACAGCAGAGAGAATGGATAGATAAATTATTGTCTTATTGACTCCTGCCAATGTTCCACTCCTGCCTCACTGCTGAAATTGCGCTCCTGCAAGTGTGTTCAGAACTGGAAAGGTTCATGGTGTTCTCACTGTTTTTCCTCAAAGCCACAACTTGTTTACTGCTCGAGATTAAGATTTACACACACTAATGATGTGTGTGTAAAGTTTTCATTTTATATTGCTAGGATGTTCATGAAACCAAGTGATAGGGAATGGTGGGTGGTCGCTGTGGAATACACGGAAAAGTGCTGGGATGAATAGATTTAGGTATTCACCTCTGGCTCTGTGATGATGATCCTCACAGGGGTTGTGTGAGCTCCTCCGGTTAATGGGTAAATCCCAGGGCATGTTCTCTGCCTTGGAGAATTCCGTAGTGATTTTATGGAAAAAGAACAAAGTGTACAGTACACATTACGGCCAAGGGCCATAGGCAGCAGTCATAGTGCCTCGAGATCGAGGTTGAATCCACAAGTCGGTATGTTCGCTTGTAGATTTTCACTTAACATGAGCGATGTTAGGCTTCGTTTGCTATCACAGGTACACGAGAAAATAGTCATATGCACAAAATATTTGCCTTGGCAGCTTTTCAATTTACAACACTGCTTTCTTTTGTAAACAAATGATTTAGAGTAGTTTTATCACTTAATATAATCAAAAACACCTTTAAAGGCCTGAGATTATGTTATTCAAAAAGAAATAGCGTCTGAGGCTTGATCATTTTTATTCCTGGGGACTCCTGGGTTCCCTCAGATAGACCTGAACTAGAGTATATTTAGAAGCAATCCCCTTCTTAAGAGATCCACCAATCTCCAGTTCACCTTGGATTTCGATTACCTTCTTGAAGTATTTGAAGCGGTGTGCTGTTGGGATTCAAACACAATTCCTATTCTTGATCTGCTTTGGACAAAAATGCTCATTCGGGGAAGTACTGTTTCTAAAGGACGGCTAATGTCCCAGGATGCAGAGAGACATAATCAAATTTGGCATCTGGCCAGCATGCTGCCTGTTAGACAGTATGTATCACTGTCTATGTTTTTGTCCAGCAGTTGACATTCCAGCGTTTTAAAATCAAAGACTGAGTGGCACCTTTGGGCCAATATTTTAAGTTCGCTGGAATTCTGGCTTCTTACTGGCAGGGATGCTCGAAATGATTAGTAATTTCTGAGGGTATTATATCAACCATTCGTGTGTTGGCTGTCAGAAGAGAAAATGACAAGATTTTCTTCATTCACTAACTTGGTGGAATGTTTTTGAAAATAGCAAACCTAAGAAGGTCACTGTCTCACCGTCTGCCTTTGCACCCTGTCCTTCCTGCTTGCCATTCGTAGCCTTCCATTTGCTTCTTCCTTTTGATCTTTTCTATTCAAAACAGACCTAAGAGTGAAGGTACACCTTTCCTCAAGGTGCTATTCATGTATTTACACATACATATATATACACACACACACACACACACACACACACACACTTATATATTTAGTATATATATATTTTAGTAGAATATATGTTTAGTAGGAGAATATATATATTTAGTATATACATTTTAGCTTATATAGGTATATGTATATCTATATACAGACACACAGGTACTTGGAAAGGTGCATTTAAACTTGGTATTGTGTTGTGATAGTGACATTAGGATTACCAAATCTGGCAGTTTTGGGAGGGTTAATATTTAGCCTCCTTGTACTCCATTATAAAGAATAAATTTTGCATTTTGATCCAGTTATCTTGATATATCTGTGTGTAGGGTTGCATTTCCATGTTAGTAGAGAGAAGAGCATTTGTGGGTAAAAATAGGAGAAAGGTACCAGAAAAGGGGGAAATATTTGCAAATAGATAATTTCAAAGGATATGAGCCTTCCAGCCCTCAGAGTTCTAAATTAGGGCTTGGTGGGAGAGGAGCATTAGAAATTGTCTTACCATTTACCATTTGAAAAATTCCAAAATGAAGTGTTTTCAATTGGCTAGATTATTTGAAAGCACTTTCGTGGATGAAAGCATTTTGTCTACTGTAAATACAAGTTTAATTTGTCTGAATCAAATGCAGACTTGTTTTTGCCTGAGTGACATAACTACTGACTTGTGTCATGAGATAGGTTAGGATAATCTTTTATGATGCCCCTGTGTAGAAAAGTGATATGAGTTATATTTAATGATGAAGTTTTGATAATGATTTGAGTTCAGAGCATAAAAGCCTTCCATAGTTGAGCTTTCGCCCCATCAATTGTTGTTTGCCAGTGTTGTTTGTAGGATTATGAGGATTTTATTTCCATCATTTTCCACTTTCACTCTCCGAGTCTCACTGATAAGAGGAAAGTATATAGGTACAAAAGAAACTCTGTAAGATTTCTGTTGCCTTCTAAGCAGTCTTTGTGGCTTTAATGAAAGTTGGAAAATGGTATTTTTAGATGGCGTGGATAGTAAAGTGATCACTCTAGAGAATATGGAGATAGTGTGGATTTGAACAATTTAGTAGCTTCATGTTAAGTCTCATTGAAAACAAAATTTTAGAAACAAAAATTATTGCCCTTGGCTCTCTTTCCATAGCAGTGAAAAGGGGTCTTT